GGAATTAAGGATATTTACCGTATTATATCTGTGCATTTTGGGTTAGCTGTCTGTGCCCTCCAATTTGTATGAGTAGACAGGCCAAAAGAAAACAAAATCAAAATAACAGAGTGATAAGACTAATGTGGCTTTTAAATCTTGAAACACTATTAACAATGTCCTCTGCCTTCCTATTTTAGGTAATTCTTCCCCTTTCCCTTTCTCAGGGTGCTTTGGATATTTTGGGTTTATATATAAGGGAGGCAACTCATTATCTATCTAAGTAGTGTTGAACATTTTTACCCCTGAGCTTGATCTGTATTCCTTTACTTACTAAAGCCACAAGGTTTTCCTTCCTTCTACCTGAGTAGTTCTCCACTGTATAAAAGTGTCATGACTTTCCAACCTATCTGCAGCTGCTGGACAAGTTGTCCCTATTTCTCTCTGTTTCCCTGTCACATGGAGAATCATTTCCTCATCTTTGGCTTTCAGTTTATTAACCCTCTTTCAGGTTAAGTATATTTCCTATTCAGAGCATCTCAATGTATCCTGTCTCCTGATCTACTCCGCCTGTATTTCTTTTTGTTAGTGTATCAAGGTTATCTATACTAGAGATTATAGCCCACCTTCTCTGCCTCATCTCTGCTATTCTATTTTTCTTATATTATTTGCCCACTTTTTCTTCCTCATTCCACTGTATGCCCCATTCATTGAGGCCTCTCTCCCACTGTTGCTGGTATTTTTTTCCTGGTATTTTTTTTCCTATGTCTCTAAAATATCCTTCAGTATTTTTTGTAGGGTTGAATCGGTGGTCACGAACTCCCACAGTTCCTCTTTGTCTTGGAAACATCTTGTTTCACCATTAATTTTGAGAGAGAGTTTTCAGGGTACATCAATTTGGGTTGGAGGTTATTTTCTTTCAGGGCTTGGACTACACTCCAGGCTCTTCTTGATTTGATACTTTGTGTTGAGAAGTCTATCATTATTTTTGGATTTTCCTTTATAGGTGATCTGTTTCTTTTTTTCTGACCACTTTTAATATTCTGTTCTTGTGGTGAATTTCTGGGATCTTGACTATTATATGTCTGGGGTAGATCTGTTTTTGTTGTAGTTGGTTGGAGTTATGTATGCCTCATTTATCTCGATATTATTTCTTTTGACTATGCTTGGGAAGCTTTCCTTAATTATTTCTGTGAATAGCCTTTGTAATTCATTTGTGATTACTCCTGCTTCTTTGCTCACGTTTTTTATTCTTAAGTTATAGACCCTCTTGTCATCTTCTAGCCTTTGAATTGTTGTTTCCTCCTTCCTTGTCATTTTTAAGATCTTTTCTTTCACAATCACACACTGCAAATCTATTTTCTTTTTCTTTTTCTTTTTTTGTCTTTTTATCGGTACTAGGGATCGAACTCACGACTGCCTGCTTATGCAAATCTATTTTCAAGTTTTGAAAGGCTAGGTTTAGTTTCTGTCATGGCATTTTGCCAGTTTTCAATGGAGTTTTTAATTTCCTGTTAATCTCTTTGGATCTGTTTCATGTATTCTAGATTTTGTTTATATTCATCATAAAAGGTTTCTCTTCTTTTTTGTGTTCCTCCATTCTTTCCATCTGTGTCTTCTTGAGAGAGGCTTAGCATTTCTTTTATTAATCTTTTTATATATTGCCTCACTTGGATTAGAATTTCAGTTTTAAGTTTGTCTATGAGGTATGAAAGTATTTATTTATGTCCACTGATGTTGTGGCTGATACTGCATGATTGTTGCACTGGTTCTCTCCTGTATTTACCTCTCCTGGACTTATTTCCCCCAGGTCAGTGGCTGTAGGCTTTTTCTTATTTCTTTCTTTCGTCATGTTTATGGTTGCTTTCATACAGCTGTGTAGTGGAGGTCTCAGGCCTCTCTGTATTGCTTATAGTTTTTCTGAAGCATGCTAGCTGGGGCTTGCTTTCTTCTCCAGTTTGCTGTTATTGAGCTGCATGCCAAGGCTGTGGGCTGGCCCCTTTCCTCTGAGCCAGTCAACAGGTGAATGCCTTCATCACATTAGTCTGTGATGAGCTGACATCACAGGTTTGGGGCAGTTTTGTCCCTGTTATTGGGTCTGAACAGGGCTGTGAACCAGCCCCAGCAGATCTCACCAGTCCTCTATGGGCCAGGGCCAGCTGTGTGACACCTCCTTGGCTCTTGGCTCTGTCCCATCCTGCTCAACTTCAATATGTCTTCCAACTGGCCACACCCACTGCAGTACCCAATTTCCAGCACTCAACATGAATTAATGCAGTCCTCCACCTTGACCCCACTCCACACTGAGCTTCGTCCTCCTACCAAGGGCCCGGGACTCACCAAATCCCGTTATTGGCAGCCATGGCTTCAGTGCAACCTTGAATCTTCTGACTCCACTGTGCACTAGGCACAGGGCAAAACCAGTATCAATGAGCGCATCCAGCTCCAGCCCTCTATTCGCGTTTTTCCCTTCTGTTTCCCCTTTTTCATTTTTCTTCAGTTTCCTCCTAGGTCACAAGATTCCTTCTCCTCTAGTCTGGCCCTCTTCATGTTGTCAAATTCCAGAGTCAGAGCTGTTTTTCTCAGAGAGGCTCTCTACCCAGCTACCTATCAAGCCACCGTCTTCCTGTCTCTAGTCTGGAGGTTCCTCAAAAAACTGGGATTGGAAGCCCCATTTGACCCAGGTCTTCCACTTCTGGGCATATTTCCAGAAGAATTGAAAGCATCATATCACAGTGATATATTGCATCTATGCTTATAGCAACACAATTTGTAGTATCCAGATGTTGGAAACAACCTAAATTTGCATCAACTGAGGAATGGATAAAAAAAGATGTAGTCTTTTTATACAACGTAATACTACTCAGATATAAAGAGTAATCACATTTAGATATTTGTAAGTGGATGAAAGTTGAGAACATACTCATAAGTGAAATAAATCGAACTCACATGAATAAATACTGTATTGTCTCCCTAGTATAAGGAATAGTAAGTGTACATAAGATGCAAAAACCTCAATAAATACAGTGAAAGGGTAAGAATCTTCTCAAAGGGGAAAAATAGTATCTCAGGAAAAATCAGGAAAAACCATATGGAAGGGAAAGGAAAATATATCTAAAAATGTATAAACACACTTAAGATAGCTAAGATGATTGTGTCACAAATTCTATCAGTTCGTAGCACAAAGCAGTTAATACAGCATTGCAACAATTTTGCATGTTTGTGTCAAGTAACCTGAGGAATTCTTGAAGACCATTATGTAAAATATCAACCTTAGTTCTGTTCCTACCACCATGTTTTGAAGTCCTATGTCACTTTTGTTTTGGGCTCTTTGCTGTTGTTATTTATTTGTCTTTTTGTTTATTTTTCTAGTTATATTTTTAATTTTGTTTTGTTTTTTGCTGTAATGCAGAAAGGATAGCTATAAATGTAGTGGCTTATACATGCCTATACCTTCTCTTAAACAGTTTATGAGAATCGATTATATTATGTGAGATGAAATGAACAGCTATGTTGAAAAGAAACAGACATTATGGTATCCATTGCTAATTTTGTATCATCATGCTGTGAAATCCAATAATGCTTCTATTCTTTTTTCAGAGTGGTTTTAGTTTGTTTTGTATTGTTTAATTTCAACAAACATGAAGGTATGGATAGCTATTTTGAAGAGAACAGACATTATGACAGCCATTGTTAATTTTCATATTGTATGGTTTTGAAGGCCTATAAAGCCTTCAAAAGTTTTATACTATTTTGTTTTGTATGAATTCGTTGTTTGTGAAGATACAATCATTTAGTAGAATACAAGAGACATTTTGGTAGCCACTGTAGATCTCATGTTGTCTTGTTTTGAAATCTGTGTCACTTACATTGTTTTCTTCTGATCTGCTTGGTTCTGTTGCATTATGTTTAGTTTTATTTTTTTAAATATCAAGTAAATGTAAAACTCAAATCAATAAAACATAATTATATAAAGATGATAAAATGACGAATGAGCAAATATCACAGCACTTTAAGTTTTCCCTAAATTGTGGGAAATTACTTACAAGTAGGCTATGTTAAAATACAAACACATGCTCTACAACAACTAATAACAAAACAAAGAAGACATATAGCTGATAGCCCAGATGAATGAGTGCATTCATGAAAGCTCTCTACTAATCCACAGAACTGCTTCAAAAAGTAGTAAGGACGAGATGAGACTAACAGAAAAGAAATGCAAGCTGAAAGGGATGAAAGTAGCAAGATCAATAACAGTATGAAATCCTAATTATCTCCCTAGTCTGAATGAGCCAATCAAGAAACATATTTTGTAATGATGAATAAAAATAGTCTTCTGTGTGCCTGTGTGTGCAACTTTAAAATGTACTGCAAAGATACTAATTAGAACATATATGAGAAATGAACACATATATAATAGAACTCCTCCAAATGCATCATGAAGAAAACAGTTCACCCCAAGAAAAGGAGGGAAAGGCACTTGGAACAGGCGCTTCAAAAAATGCAAGATATGTCGAGGGTCATTTTCATCTTCTTGGACATTTTGGATGATTTCCCCAGTTGCCCAGAAGAGTTGCTGGTTGATACAATTCCCTGTTAGCTCATCTGGGAGTTATTTTTCCTTAGGGAGCCTTTGCCAACCTCCCACCCCATTCTGAGTGCAGGTAGCAACAACTGGAGGCTTTCGCACTGCCTACAATACGAATTGATCAGATTTATCATTTAGTTTCCCATTTTCTGAAAAAAAAAAAAAAAAGGAAGATTGGCTTACATTTCTTTCTGTGTCACAGGAAACTTACATTACTACAAAGCTCCTAGATTCCAGGAACAGCAGCCACATTGGGAAGTTCTGGTGACTGCATAGCTGGCCACGTGGGGGCACTGTGGATCCTCAGAGCGCTCCTTGAGGCTCCTCCCTTAGTGTTCGCTGGGGAGCTGGATGCATCAGAGCCTGTGGTTAATAAAGTTCTTTGTTCTGCTGCCCATATTTTCATGTGATTGTCACCACCGGGAGACATGAACTAAAGTCTTGAATAGTCCCAGCCTCTGCAGGAGTCTACCTATCAGGGGAGTATGATGGGGCTTCTGAAATCAACCTGGACTGTCGTGGCCTCACTGCGTGAGACCAGTTAGAGAAGCTGGGGTTTGGGTTATCTGTGTCACACAGAGTCCTGAGGTGCTGTGCACAGCTCCCCCTGCTCACCGGAAGCTACTTGGTGAAGACCTGGCCCCTTGATCATGTCCTGGGGTGCAGGGTTCCTACTGGAGCCTGAACAGTGACATCCCTGATGTTATAGGCAAATGCTCCAAACTGAGAAAACAGAGGAGTGGAACAGAGCATCTGCTATCTGGCCCAGGAGACCAACACCATGGGTAGAGAGATGCCCTATCTTGGCTTTTCAGATTTGGCTTGGGGACCCAGGGTCCTTTCCTATCTGACCCTTTGTCTCTTGGGAACAGGTGAGTCCTGAGCAGGGTTGGGATGGCTTTTCGACCACAGCTTTTTATTATTGCTGGAGGATCACATTCTCACTTTTTAGTTGCTTACCTCTGTCTCATTTTCCCGTAGGTTTTCTGGATGCCGAAGTCATCCAGTCCCCAAGAAACCTAATCAAAGCCAAGGGAGGGAAGTCCACTCTGCTATGCTACCCCACCTCTGGACACATAAGTGTGTCCTGGTATCAGCAGGTTCCTGGTCAAGGCCTCCAATTGCTCATTCAGTATTATGATATGCGTCAGAGAACTAAAGGAAACATGCCTGACCGATTCTCAGGTCAGCAATTCAGTGACTATCACTCAGAGCTGAACATGAGCACCTTGGAGCTGGAGGACACAGCGGTGTATCTCTGTGCCAGCAGCATGACACACAGCCTTGCAGAGCTACTGGCTTTGTGCACTCCAACCTTCCAGTCCCAGCTGAGGATGCCTTGGGGGCGGGGAAGGGGAGAGTTGTCACCTTAACCCAAGCCCTGTGGATGCCTGCAGTGCTTTGCTAACCTCTTCCTGCTCTGCTGTACTCAGCCTCAGGGCTTATGGAATTTCAGGTTCTAGGTCTGCAAGATGCTCTTGAAGGCTCTACCTGGACCTTTCAATTCCTAGGCACTGGCAGGGGTCCTACTCTCTTTAGAGTAGAGTGGTGTGTGGGTGGGTGCATTGTGATTGATGACTATGGTGAGTGTTTAAGTTAAAACATCGATTACAATAAAGGACACATTGCTACTACCCCAACCCCATCCTCTCTTTTGCCTTGAACACACTCATCGCATCATTCTTGCCACTTTCTGAAGCCATAGTAGAGGGTTTTTTTTTTTTTTTTATTCTTTAGCTGTGATGCCATGGCTGCCTCTATGTCTTGAATTGATTCAGATGTTTCCTTTCAGGGCTATTTTCACTTTGGGCTAGAGCCAAAAGATGCACAGCACTGGATCTGATGAGTAGGCGGGTGAGGACAGACTGTGATGATGTTTTTATAATGCCCCTGTGTGGCAGCTTTCAAGGAATTCTGCTTATACCTTGTGAAGCTAAGCTCCAAAGAGGACATCCACAACTATGTCATAAAGGGTCAGGAGCCTTGGAATAAGTGCAAGGAGGAATGTTTTCAAAAGGATTAATTGTCATGTGTCATTTAATCTAATGATTTCTTTTCACTCTTTAACTTTCACTCTTTCACTCTTTCTATTATGTGTTTTAGTGCATGGATAGACACCAGGGTATCCCCTTTAGAGATGAAGGTTTCACTGTGTCACTAAATAGACTGTAAGGTGTATGAGCTACACTGGGCTTTCCCAAATGTTTCATATTCACAAGCATCAGAACCAGGATTGAAGCTCTATCATTATGCCTCCAAAGTCAAAGTTCACCTAAAATCCCATGATAGTCTCTGATCTTGATCAATATATGCAGCAGAATTCCATCTTTTCCATTTCAGGACTGCTGAGCAGCAAGAGGAGGTCACATTATAGAACACAGTTACTATGGCTATTTTGCCATCAACTTTCAGGACACATGATTTTAAGCCAGAGAATGTTTGTCCTGTCATAGCTCTACAAGGGAGCTGTGCATTTGCAGCAATAGAAAATGTGCCATTCACTCATTAATTGAAAATTAAACGCAAAGGAGATGTTGGTAGGTGCGGGATTGATAGGAGATGCTTATCATCCCAAAGAAGTTAAGGCATTGTTTGGAACAGTATCGTTTTCGGTGTTTAGGTTATGATCCACAGAGCTACATAGGCCTATGTGTTAATCAGAAACTCCTACATTTTCAGCTCGATGACTTCGTTTCTCGCTGTCATCTATTGTCTCTTCTGTCTCTGAGGAGCAGCAAAGCTCTAGACATAGATGGAGAAGCCTTCCTAGGTTGACCAGGCTCCCCCACACCAATGTATCAAGCAAATGCCACACTGATCACTGCCTCCTCTTCTGATTCTGTATGTTCCTCACTAGAGCACAATTGGAGCAGACATCCTTCATGAGTCTATCAACATGTGTAGTCACAGTGAGAAGGCCTTACACTGTACTATCACCTGCATGGCAAACCACAATCTTAACCCTAGTGAGTACTTCCATATTTTTCATGACAGAGAATATATGACTCAATTTATCTTTGTCACGATTACAAGATCTGAGTTAATATAGAGCATTTCTCTTTCACTGTGGAGACTCAATGCAGTGTTTGTCTCAGCAAAGACCTCTTCCACGTGAAAAGGGCCCATCTTTCCTTCTTTAGGAGGGCACTGCTGTAGAGGACAGACCGACCTTAAACCTGTGGTCTTCCTGCCTCAGCCTCCCATGAACTGGGATCACAAGGATGTGTTCTAACTTCATGCCTAATGCACCTTTCCGATTTTGATAGGAAGCAGAATCACTGTCACTCAGGTGGTCCAGGGTGCATGGCTTCCCTGAAAGGAAGGAAAACTTCATACCCATGAGGACACACTGTGTCCTTATCCTGCTGGTCAGCACTCCTGATAGCTGAGTTGGTGTGAGAATTCTCCAAATTTTAGTGACCTTGTCCTTGACACTTTTCAACCATCCTAGATAAGTGGCTCTTGTACCCAAGTATATCACCTCAGGCTGACATCCGTTAATTCCTTTTAGGAAAAAAGGAGTTCTGGGACGTGACTTTTTAGCAGACAAAATATGGAAGGCATGAGGACTGCTGTGAGAAATCTTTTTAGACTAGAGAAATATACGAAAAAGTTAAAACAAAAAATATACAAAAAGTATTTACATCATAATGAAATGCCTAGAGGAACAGATTTCCATACTAAAGTTGGGATAGAGGCGTATGCAATTGTAATTAATTAATTGTACTTGTGCAGTTGCACATTATTTTCTAGTTTGGACTGATAAATTGTGTATTTATGGTATCTATACCATGAAACTCTACACAGATACATATGTACATGAGCAAATACAGAATTATATAAAAAAAATGTCTTGTAGGGGAGGAGCATGGCAGCTTTACCACACAACTCATGAATCTGTCAGGGACAGTGACATCACTGAGTCACAGAAACCCCAAGTTCCACTTCCCCTAGACAGCACTGGAAGACGCAAGATCACTGCCCTAGTAGAGAAATGGGCACCAAGCTCTTCTCCTGGGTGACCTTCAGTCTCTTGTGGGCAGGTGAGTGCAGGCCACAGGTGGGCTTCCTTCCCTAAAATTCCCAAAACCTCAATACATCCCTTCCTCTCTGGGCTCTTCACCGGGCTTTCTTTCTCTGTCATAGGGCATATAGAGGCTGGAATCACCCAAAGCCCAAGATTCAAGGTCACAAAGGCCAAAGAAAAGGTGACTTTGAAATGCCAGCAGACCAACAAACATGACTACATGTACTGGTATCGACAAGACCCAGGTCATGGACTGAGGCTGATCCATTACTCATATGGTATTAAGTACCTAGAACCAGGAGAATTTCCCAAAGGATACAATGTCTCCAGAGAAAACACAGAGGACTTTCCCCTCACTCTGGACTCAGCCACCCTGACCCAGTCGTCTGTGTACTTTTGTGCCAGCAGTGATTCCACAGCACTGCATAGCCACCTCCTCTCTGTACATGAAGTACAGTTAGAGAGACTGTGGTTGTCTGTGCCCACAAACCTTGGCTCCACCTTGAGAAGTTCCAGCCTCTGTAGGAATCACAGATTCCTTGACGAGAAGTGCTGCCTCCCAGCCTGGCTCTCAGTACTCACATCCTTGCCATGCATGCCTTGGCCACACTGGAGGTCACCTCAACACCATGAGATTGCTGGTTTCTCTTCTGTGACTCTTATGCCTAGAAATGCATCTTTAAATGTTATGTAATAATTCATTTGGTTCTCTCTAACTCAGCATCTTTTTCTCACCCCTGAGCATTTCAGTGACTTCTGCTACCATGTAACTCCCAGTTATAAATGGTCTTTGCTCTGAGCTGCCTTTACTGTTTGGGGCCCTAGCCCTGTCAGTCATGTGTCAGTGCACCTCACTTATCTCTCCATTATCAGCCCATACCACATTTCCTCAGGTTGCTCTCCCCAAGTCATGTTTCTCCAAATGAATTCTGTCCTCCTTTGTCATTTTCTCCCCAGTGAACACTTTTTCCCAGGCCATTTCTACTGTACAGTACATATGTCCCTTCTTCTACAGGATCTCAACTTCATTCCACTGATGAAAATATATTTCAGATACACTTCATTGTGAAAAAAAGACTTAAATCTTCCAGAATGGACTGACAAAAATATTCTTAGCTTTCACTTGAGGGAGAGGGCTTTTAATAGAATCACAAAAGATTATAATACATTAGGAATAATATTTCAGTTGCATTAAAGTCTTTGCATCAAAACTCAGTGATAAACGTGAAAAATGAGGCCATCACCCAGGAAGAAGCATGAGGAATGCTACAAGTGGTAAAGAATAAGTGTCATAGAAGAAAATAGTACCCTTCACACCTAGGTAGCTCCTCTACAAATCCCAGGTTCTTTTCATTTGGAAGATTCAGAGTGGATAAAAATGATGTAAGCCAGTGCCATCTCTGGCCCTTAAAAATACCTCATGGCATTATGTTTGAGGTCCCCACACAAACCCCATTTGGAGATTTGGAGCTGGCATACACACGGTACTGTATAGAACTGTACTCGTGGTTAAAATTTATGACAGTGACAAAGCAAGTATTCAGCAGCAGATCATAGTTAAAAAGCACACAGTTAGGATGAAGGGGAATCTGAAGTCAGCTTCCTGATACTTCTTTCATTCCAGGAGGGTCAACACAGCTCACCCTGCACCCAGACACTAAAATGTGTGCAGTTTTTCTAGTGGAACCATGAAATTTCAGAGCCCTAGAGATTTTACTGAAGACTGGTACATAGCACTCCCTGCCCAATCTCTACCAACAATCCCAATCTCAGAAGAAAATTCAGTGCTAAGCATGATACTGGTGCACCAACCATCTAGGCAACATGATCCACCTTCCTTAGGGAGAATTTTTTTTCAGTATAGCACATTGTTTGTACAAAAGCCAAGCTTACTGATACCAGCCAAAGTTCAACCACGTGAGCAGGATTTTCTAAGCACAGCACACTCTACCTACTATGTCTACTCTTTTCTGCACAGATGTCCTTCAATTCTCTTTTGCTATGCACTGATAAACTTTAAGTTCGAGGATTGTAATATATGATAAGACTGAATTACTGGCACTTTATGCAAAGGTCCTTTTTGTTTAGACCAAATACCTGGTGCCCAAAATTAAAGAAGGAAAGCTTACAGTTTGTTGAGGTTTCAGTCCATAGTTACCTGGCTCCAAAGCAGGGTAGCATGGCACTGAAGAAACACTTCATGAGACAGAAGACAGCAAAAGCAGTGATAACAAAAAGAAGGAGGAAAAAATCCTCCTTTTGTGCCTTGTAATGTATACATGCTTTGTGCCCTAGGATGGGTCCTTTACACCCACACTCTCTCTATGCTCACCTTTTGTACAAGTTCAGGATATTTACAAGTGAGGACCCTTGACTCCTGCTGAGTTGCTCAGTTAAGCTTCTAAACTTCATAAGTTGATACAATGTAATAACCATTACCCCTAGGTTATAACTTGCAGACAATCACAACAAAAACCTGCTTTCCCTACATTGGCCTCTATAGACATGAGAAATAAGGCTCATAGCATGAAGTTATTGTGTTTAGAAATGCTCTTGTATGGTTTTGTTTTCTGTAACTGGCCTTTTCGAATAGAATTAGTGTGTAGAACGAATAATGACTTTTCATTGCATAAAAGGGAAAAGATAGACCATAAAACTTGCAACACTTTTTTTAAATTGGCAAGAGTAACCAAGAGTTACCACAAAACAGGTAAGTAGATTCTCAGCTTTACTTAAAATTAAAGTATTGCAAGCTGGGTCAATAAGTTATACCTTCAAACCTGTAATATGTTCAAGAAAAATTTCAAAATACAAGTGAGATACAGACTAGTGAAAACTCTTTTACAGTACCAAAGAAAAACACAGGCTATCAATAACATTTTGTGGGGTATTTTCTAAAAGCAGGCTTTGTGGATAAATTATCAATATATTTTAAATTACTATGGGTTCCTTTCTTTGTCATTGTGCATTATTATGGAGAATTCAGCTTTTGATATTTATTTTTGTTACATGAAGAGAGTATACTTACCTTTTACTATAGTAAAATGTATATGGCATAACTTTTTTGCTTTAACAAATGGAACAAAGGCTCCCTCTTACCGCTAAGGTTCAGATAGCCGAGTCTATGTAATCAACTGACAACAGGTAGATTAACAGGGGAAAAGGTATATAAATTTATTATATACATTAGAACATCAAATTAAGGGGGAGTAAATACATAAACACACAGTAAAATCTAAAGACTTATCTAACTTGTTCATAGGAAGAGAGAAGAGGTAATACAGGAAACTGAGGAGAGCAAATGAGTTTGGACAGATGAGGCGACTCTCAGAAGAAGAAGTTATACTTCATGACACAGTCTGTCTGGGCATATGGTCCTCTAGTACCCTCAGCATATTAATTAACCTTTGGTGAATTGAATTTTTTTCTGGTACTGGGGATTGAACTCATAACCTCACACTTTCCAGGCAGGCACTTCTGCCACTAGGCTAAACTTTTAAGTCCCTGAATTGAATTCTTGGGGAGAGAGACCAAATTACTGAATTCCTTTTGTTGGATTTGTTTTGAAGTAGGCAGTCCCCAAAATCACTCAACATTCCCCAAAATCTCTCAGTCGGAAATATTCAACAAACAAAAGCAGCATACTTTGGCATTTCCTGAACATCTTCACCGATAGTAAAAGTACCATTGAGTGGCAATTAAATATGTACCATTGAATGACAGTTAAATATGTCCACCATGACACAGAACAACTTCCACTCTCTATTTCCAAACTGGTTCACATATCACCAAGTAAACATACTGCAGCCGTTAAGAAATAACTCCTCATTTTCCCTCTCTCAGTCTCTGTCTACTTTTAACCTACTTCCTGTTTGTATTAATTTTTCTTTTCTAGAACATTCATACATATGGAATCATAAAATACCATTCCTTTTGTATCTGGCTTCTTTCACTTAACATAATGCTTTCAAAGTTCACTCAGTGTTGAGGCATGTATTAGAACTCCATTCCCCTTTATAGCTAATATGGATATATCACATTTACATGGGTATACCACATTTTGTTCATCATTTTATAGGCATTTGAGTTTTGGCTAACTTTTGGATATTGTGAAACACTGCAGTGAACTTTGGTTGAAGTAACTGATTCTCTGTTTTTAACTGGAATACATAACTGGGAGTAGAGTGGCTAGGTCACATAATAATTTTGTTCAATTTATTGAGTAACTGTCAAAGTGTGTTTTCTCTTTGAACTGTTGAATAGTTTTACATTCCTACCATGAATATATGAGATTTCTAGTTTCTCAAAAACATTACCAACTTTGTCATTTTTGTTTGTTTTTTCTTACTGTTATTATATCAGTTTCATTACCTGTGAAGTGATATCTAACTATGGTTTGGATTTGTATTTCCCCAATAATTAGTGATATTAATCATCTGTTCCTGTGTTTATAATTCATTTGCATATTCTTTTGGAAGAAATATGTTTTAGTTGGTTGTGTCTTACATTTTGTAGGTTTTTCAGTTTCAGTAGTTTTACTGTAATGAAGCTAAATGAGGTTATGGTTGAACTTTAGATGGGAGATTTGTAAGTGACAATGGTTTTGGTGTAGTACTTCTGAGATATTTTTCATATTATATGGAAGAAAGAACATGAGTAAACTTATTGAGATTGCTAAGAACCAGGGTTCTTAGTAAGAGAAAAAAGAGCTAAGAAAAGGGAGCAGATATGAGGAAAAAATTTGTGGAGGTGATTTGAATTGGAAATATCAACATAAAATTATGGTTTTAAAGCTTATAATTTTGTAATTCTATGTATGAAAGGTCTAAGAAGCAGTTCAAAATCCAATTGATTGAGTTGCTTTATTTTCTTTATGAGATTGTTTCCAGTAGTAATGAGAAAACCTATTGCACAGTATTTACTTTTTAAATGTTATTCCTCAAAGGACAAAGCAAAAATGGATTGTTCAAAATGTAGGATGGAGAAATGGAAGGATGTCAAAGCAAAGAGGTTTAAAAGCACAAAGAAATAGTTAAGTAGAACACCAGATAATAATAATTTAGAAACTTATGAGCCTATAATGACAAGAAAAAGGGTATATATGAATCTCTTCATTATAAAACAGCTTCAGTTAGTCAATTTAAGATATATGAAAGAATTAGAAAATCAGCATAACTAGTGTAGTTATGGGCAAAAACCATCAATGGATGCTAAAATAAATGAAAGGCTGTTAGGAAATGGGATATTTATGTTGTTTCAAGCTATCAGTCTTGTGCTAACTTATTGACTACAATGGATAAACCACTTTTCAATAAGGAGATCTTGAGTTCACCATCCCAAATTTAAAGTCACTATCAGCATATAAAGATAGCATTAATTTCCTTGTAACTCACCAGATGTAATGGGGCAAACTCATTAATGGTGGCATACATTTACAAAATACTTAAACTT